ACAATGACTTTAAATCCTCATTAAAAGTATAATGATTATTATAAAGTAACTAAACCTTTTAATTCCCAATCTTAGTTATTTTAGGAAAAATGTGAACATGGTGCTAGTCCATGGAATTCACACTTTGTACCTTACCAAGTCGTTGGTGGAGCGTGTGTGGTTAACCGGCACACTAACTTGGACTAGTAAGGATCACGAAGGGTGACTTAATGTTTGTCATAGATCAATGGAGCGTGTGTGGTTAACCAGCACATTGATTAGGTGATAATATTAAGGGTATCAAGTGAATTAGCATGGTTATTCACACCTTGTTTTGTGATCCTCGGCATCCCAGTCACAAAACTAGAAGGGCACAATCGAGATTGAAACATGCCATTGAAAAGTTCAATGAATCTCAAAAGAATCTAGGAATTTCAAATCCAATTAAAACCTAATAATACATTTTGTTTTTCATGGTGGAAATTGGTGAATCGCCATTCGCCTACCTTTCAAATATATTATTACTTAGATTACGGCATCCCTCTTCTAAGTATAATATATTATGATTGGGTCCTAGCCTTAATATTACATTTGGGTGTCTTATTAAGGATTCTATATATCTAATCTAAACTTGCTTTCTTCTTTCAGATGTTTTTCAACACTAATGCTTCAGGCTCTAACCCAACTGGTTCTTTCTCTCTCATGAATCTTTGTGGGAGGGTCATCTTTGATGGTTCCAACTTCATGGATTGGATTAGGAACATCAGGATGGTTACTCGTTATGAGGACAAGGAATGTGTCCTCGATAAGGAGTTAAAAGAGCTTGATGAGTCTACTGCTACTCCTGAGGAGATCGCTGAATTTAGGACTCATGAGAGAGATGCTACTAAGGTGGCATGTATCATGATGGCCACGATGACAGTCGAGCTCCAAAAGTCATATGAAGATTTCTACCCTTTTGAGATGCACCAAGACCTGATGGAAAGGTACCATCAGAGTGCTCGTCAGGAGCGGTATGAAATAATCTCCTCCATAATAACTACCCGCATGAAGGACGGTGATTCCGTCACGGCTCACATGCAAAAGATGCAAAGGTATGTGGACCGTTTGCTGAAGCTGAATGTGAACAACCCTGAGGAGTTGGCAATTGACATCATTTTGCACTCCTTACCTTCTTCTTATGATCATTTTCGTATGACATGTTATATGAACAAGGAGGAAGTTACCCTCAGCAAGCTTCAAGGACTCTTGAAGACCGCTGAAACCGGTCTTAAGGGCAAGGCGGTTGTTACCTCTATTACTCCTACTCCAACATCTACCCCTGTTTTAGCTATCGGGCAAGGCAAAGGGAAAAAGAGGAAGCACCCTTCGAAGGGTACCAAGGGAAAGTCTCTTGAAGGCTCCTCATCGAAGACCAAGAGCGGTTCTGTCACTCCTTCTGCCATTCCCAAGGATGCTGAATGCTTTTATTGCCATGAAAAGGCACACTGGAAGCGAAACTGCCCTAAGTACTTGCAGGATCTAAAGGATGGGAAAGTGAAACCCACCCATGCAGGTATTTACACTATATTGTCTAATTACTCAACATATTCTAACTCTTGGGTGCTTGATACAGGATGTGGTATTCACATATGTTCTGATTTGCAGGACCTAAGAAGAAGTGAGGATGTGGAGCACGGGAAGATAAACTTGATCATGGGGAATAGGAAGGCTTCACCTATTTCCAAGATTGGAGTTTATACTTTGTTGCTTAATAAAGGGTTAAAATTAGATTTGAATAAATGTGTGTACTCGTCTGAAATGGCAAGGAATATTATTTCTTTTCATGCTTTGTACAAACAAGGTTTTACCTTTTCGTTTGATAATGAATGTGGTGGTATTAATGCTTTCTTTAAAAATGTGTTTTATTTTAAAGCGTTACCTTGTGATGGTGTGTATGAAACTGTGTCGATTGTAGACAACTTAGGAAATAATGTGTTGTATATTGATTCTCTACTAGCCTAGATAAAGCATCATTGTGGCATTTTCGTCTTGGACATGTAAACAAGAAACGCATAGGCCAACTCCAAAAGAGTGGAATCTTGAAATCATTCGACCTTATATCGGATGATAGTTGTGAATCTTGCCTACTTGGAAAGATGACAAAATCACCCTTCACTGGAACTTGTGAAAGGGGTGAGGGTTTGTTGGACCTAATACATACTGATGTATGTGGGCATTCAAAACCGCCACAAGGGATGTTAATCGGTATTATGTGACTTTTATTGATGATTTTAGTAGATATGGGTATGTCTACTTAATCAAACATAAGTCAAAAACCTTTGAAAGGTTTAAGGAATTCAAACAGGAAGTAGAAAATCAATTGGGCAGGAACATTAAGATGCTTCGATCCGATCGAGGTGGTGAGTATCTTAGTACCGAGTTCCTTGACTATCTTAAGGAGTGTGGGGTTGTGTAACACCGGCAGATCCGGGCTAGTCAATTTAGAGGCAATAGGGGTCGAAAATGACTTTTCGACAAAAGATTATTTAGAATAAATAATCTTAACCAAGTTTTAAAATATGTCACAAGGTTTCCGTACATATAAAGAACGCCGAAATCCGAGTTATAACGAAGAAGTTATGGCCCGTCGAAGTTTTACGGCAAAACCGACACGACACCGGGAAGCGTAAATAGTGAATTTACGATAGAGCGAGATTTATCCTTATCAATCTAAATGAAAGTCATATAATATGTTAAACTAAGAGCATCGATAAAAAGAACGCCCAAATCTGACTTCGTATGAGGAAGTTATGATTTTTCTAAGATTCGGCTTAGCAGTGTACAGCCCGAAACTCGAATTTTAGTTCGAGCGGTTTTTGGCTTATGTGACCTAAATGAGAGTTGAAGATCTCATTAATAGGAACTCAACAGTAAAAAGACAGACGAAAACGGAGTCCGTATGAAGGAGTTATGAATTCTTCGCGGTCATTTAACAGTCTAAACGCCTCCTACTGTTAAATTTGAGATCGGTCGAGAATTAGCCGATAGAGTCTAAACAAAAGTTGTAGATCTTGATTTTACCTACGCGTGGATATAAAGAACGTCGAAAACGGAGCTCGTATGCGAAAGTTATGATTTTTCTAAGTTTGAAGGCTGATACGCGATAGGGGGTGATGTGGCACCACCAGAATTGGACACGTGGCACCACCAGAAGGCCACCACATGGACCAACTTGGCGAGTAGGTCCCCCCCTACTCGGCGAGTAGACCAGTCAGCACCCCTATAAATAGAGGTGTCGGGTTCCATTCATTCTCACACCTTCAAACCCTTCTTTATCTCTCTAAACTCTCTCTCTAAGCCTCCCTAACCCCCTAAAGCCTAGGGTAACTACCTAGCACGAGGCGGAATCCCCTGAGCGCCTGACGGCTCCGAGAAAAGAGCCTTTCGGCTCGGGAAACGCTGCTCCAGCGAAGCCCGGTTTTGCAAAAAACCCGCTGTAAGTGAGCTACGCCTACGCTAGTTTTAATATAGCTCCTAATTAATTATAGTAACATTATTAGGACCTTAAAATAATTATTTGGGCTGTTATTATGAGTTATATTGAGTGTTATTTAACGCTTATATAATAATAATAATAGTCAGACTATTAATTTGTCACGGATATCGGTAGACTAAACCCTAGTGGTGTTGATACTAGGTTTTATCGAAGGAAGGTTGTTTTGAGAGTATCGAAGCGCTGTTCGAGTGTTGAGTCACCACCTATCAGGTGAGTGCATAGTCCCTTTCATCATACACATAGATATGAAGTATTTTATATAAACTACGTGCTATGTGTGCATATTATCTGTATACTTGCTGTCTATGCTGGATGAACGTTTTATACATGTTTTAAAGAATTTAAACTGTATACGTATGTTATATATACGAATATGTTGGGTATGAGATGGGTAGATGAATGATGAGAGATAGAAGATGATGTGAGTATACATTGGCAGCTATAGACTTAGTGCCTATGGGACAAACACCGGTATCTATGGACTTAGTACCTGTTAAACGTTGGTAGCTATGGATTTAGTACCTGTTGGGAATTGGTAGCTATGGACTTAGTACCTATTAGTTAGACGCTGGTAGCTATGGACTTAGTACCACTACAAGAAAACAGCCCTTTAATGATGCGCAAACAATGACACTCGCTGATAGTGGACGTGTATTTGTGTGTTCCCTAACAAATAATGCCAGATTTGCAAAATTTGAAGGATAGTGGACACGCATTTGTGCGTGCCCTAAAATTAGTGTCAGAAAAAGAAAAAAAAGGAAATGCGGAGGGCGCCTTTCATAAAATGTGTGTCGTCCAAGTGTGTTGCTTTATAATTTTTTAATGAAACATGCATTTTTTAAGGCGGGATTTCACCCCGCCTGTTGGATCCTAAGAATCAAACCCCCTCGTCTCTTTCGATTAGCAAGAAAAAGCTTTAGGGCCTTCATCTTCATAGCAGCATCGCACCACCACCCAACCTCCGATCTCGCACCGCCAAGTGTCTCTGACTATCTTCTCCAACCATTCTTTCCTGTCGCACTACACCCATAACAAAACCTCCCATCATGATATGCTAATGTTTGTATTTATGCCAATTGAGATCAAATCATTCATGTCACAGGTGCTCATGCTTCACGTTCGTATGATAAAACCCTAACCGTAAAAACCATCTTTGTCTAGGTCAAGAGCAACGATTCCATCAAGAATGTCAAATACATGATACAGGTTCCTCTTTCTCCTTTATTCTTACCTCTAATTTTGATTTTGAAACTTCTCATCTTCTCCTCTATAAAACCCTAACCGTAAAAATTATACGGGTTTCAATTGTGATTTCCTCCTCCATACTCGATCCCTACTTCTACTCTCTACGCATATTAGATAGGATCCGTTCTTTCTCTCTTTTCTCCTTCTTTTTTTTTGTTTTCTCAGGTACGACATCATTCTCCCCTACTTTCTACTTGTGCATCCCATTCTGATACTTTTCTACTTGATACAATCATCGATGATTCAAAACCATCAAACGCTTCATCATCTATCGTGTTCGGGTAATCCATCCCAATCCATTAACCCCTTTCATTTTTCATTAAAAAAACCCTATTGATTTGGCAAGTTCATGAACCAAATGTAGCACATCCCAAACTGGGGTTTTAACCAAACCCGATAGAGCCATTGACGGAATCTTTGGATTCCGTTACCAAGGACTCTCTGTAATCGTGTAGATTTCTTCACAAGGGATTGCTCCAGATGCTTTCTCTCATTGTCTCGTCGGAAATGGTGGTGGTGGTGGGATTTTAGTTCTAGGTCAGATAATCGAGCCAACCATGGTGTATACTCCATTAATCCAGTCACAGTAAGTTCTCTTTTGCTTATCTCTTATCATAAAACATTAACAATGGCGTACAGTCTTCTTACCCCTTTTCACCCATTTCTGCAATTGCTCAATCTCCCTTTTCTATTGTATAGGCTATGATAGAACTACCAATGATTGGGATAACTACTCAAGATATGTGGATCCTGATGGAGTTGATTTATCTCATGTAAGAACCTGTTTCCTTCTGTGAGTTTTGTCTATTTTTTGACTTAAAAACATGTTTATCATTGTATATTGTTTTTGGTTTCATTACAGGGTGTTTATGGTCATGGTTATGCACCATATGGACCTTATTCTCCTACTGGCTCACCTATGCCAACAGTAGGTCAATATGGTGAACTCTATAGGGCCCAACATTACTACTAACCTACTTCTTACTTCCCACCTATGACCCCTACAACCCCTTACTCTCCTGCGCCTCCAAAGGGTGAGATCACAGCAACTAAAGAGGAACCTGCTTTATCTTGGGAAACAACTAAAGGAAACCCAAATGGTGTGAAGGGGAACACTGCTTCTACCCCTTTGAGGCCAACTTCATATCAGAATTTATCTTTCAATCCAAATGGAACCTATGGAAGAGGTGCATAAACTGGCTATCAAGATCCAAGATACACTTGACAGTTGATAGTTTCTCAATTTGCTTCAAACAATCATTTCTTTTCTTCTCTTTTAATCATTTGATGTTAATATTCAAGGCAAAATATACAAAATGGCAACATATTTTCATTTTTAACGGATGTATTGTGTCATAAACTTGCAGTCTATTACTAGAGCATATGGAAGGGTGGATGCAGATGGTTCCAGGTATCTACTTGGTGACCATCTTATTAGTTTTGTAAAAAAAAAATATAATAATAAACAAATAAACTAATTAAAGTAGAAGTTATAAATACAAATGTAACAGAAGCAACTATGTAAATATACTAGTTCCATTAGGTTTTCAACATATAGAGGAATTGCAAGGGAAATATTATAGCTTAATTCTTAATTATTACTTGTTGCCTAGATTCTGATAGGAGTTCAATCACCCAACATTCACTACATTAAACTATATAACTATTTATGTAGTTAATAACTTATTCATTTGAAAAATATCAATTTTGACACTTATGTTCAGGTTTTTGCTGTTTGCAGCCTCAGGTAGAAGTTAAGAGTTTTCCAGCAGAAGCATTCAATCCTCTTGCTTGCAATACTGATGGTACTTACATAGTAGGAGGAGGAGTTTCAGGTCATATTTACTTGTGGGAGGTGAGTTGTAAATTCATTTCAGTTTTCTAGTCATAAAGAATACATGGTTCTTTTGCCGATTTTTAATTTCTCTTCAAATTATATTGAAAACTTTGTTATTTTGTTTTACTGTTGCTCTTTAGTTCCAACAATTCACTGTTTTTCATAATCAGATTAACTATTTGTGCAAAAATCATATAAAAACTAATCTTATTACAAGTCTTTTCTTTATTTCTTTTGATTTATTATAGGTTGCAACTGGTCGATTATTAAAGAAATGGCATGGTCACTATAGGCCTGTTACTTGCTTGGTCTTTTCTAATGATCAGTCACTTTTGATTTCTGGATCTGAGGATGGAACTGTTAGAGTCTGGTCACTTCTGATGTATGTATAATTACTCATTTACCCTTTTACATTCATGAGTTGCAATTTTAGCGTTTATTACTATAATACATTTTCTTCATCTTGTGATCAGGATATTTGATGAGGAAGGACAACAGAGAGCAGGACATCTGTATGAATACAGTTTCACTGGTCATGCTTTACCTGTAACTGACATTGTCACGGGCTTTGGAGGATCCAATGCAATTATCTGATCTGCTTCTCTAGATCGTACTTGCAAGGTACATATTGCATAAATATTCGGAAAAGATGTGAATGCCCTCATGAATTTGTTTAAATTGAGGGTATGGAGCCTAACTGGAGGGACATTGTTGAGAAATATTGTGTTCCCTTCAATAATTGATGCAGTTGCATTAGATCCAGGGGAACATGTTTTTTTATGCTGGTGGGAGAGATGGGAAAATATACATTGCAGAACTCAATGCTCAAGTCACATCCAACAACAACAACAACAACAACTATGGTTTGCATATCATTGGCGCATCCAAACACTACTTCAAAGTTCAAAGTAGGAAGTAGTTGGTATTCATTATATCTTTTGGAGAAAATATAAAAATAGGTGTTTGGATTTTCTTTTCTTAAGTAATTATTCTGATTTCAAGAGTAATAATCAGATAATAATTTGAGAAATTTAGGGATAATATGATACTTTTCCATTTATCCTGCAATAAATCTGATTTTGGCATCAAAGATTCTGTCATGATGACTTCTTATACTGGAATTGTTCTAAAAATATCATAACCTCTTTTAGATGCTATTATTGAGAAAAGAGTATCTCTTTCTGAATGCAACAATACTATAACATCCTAAATTTAAGACTATATTATTAAATTAATAAGATAAAAGGGAAAATGGTAGAGAAAAGTCATTAAATTTGCTGGGAAAATTACCCTAAGTCAAGGGGAATAAGGGCATTTTCGGAATTTTACCAAAACTAAGTGGGGTTTTTTCACATGATGTTAATTTGCAGCTGCCAACATCTCCCCAGAAAAGCTACAATATGGTAGACCATCACCATCCATTTGAACTTTGAAGAAGATGACAATGCAATGTAAGTTTATGTTAATTATTTTCTCTTACTATTTATTTTTGAATTTATGACACTTTGGTTGCGTTGAATCTGATCTGGTATTCTGATGGTTATATATATATATATATATATATATATATATATATATATATATATATATATATATATATATATATATATATATATACATATATATATATATATAGGGTTAATGAAGAAAGAACTTAACATTTTACAAATTTGCCCTCACTTATTTTTTCCTTCTCAGTGTTGCCCTTTTTTCAACTGCTTTAGGTTTTGGTTGCATAACTTAGTAAAACGGTACAAGAGTGTGTGTCTCTATCTCCCCTCTCTTTAAAACATGCACTGTGGTTGGCTCTAACTTAAAATACAAGTGAACTCAGACCCCCATCCAACCAAGAAAACTGTAGAACCTAAAACAAGTTTCTATGCTCAAGTCTTTAACAAATATGAACACCAATTCGTTTCAACATCTCCATTATAGGGTAAGGCAACCCCTATTAGTTCTTCTTGTTGGTGATTTCTTCTTGAATGTCACATCTCACTGGAAACTGTAGAACCTAAAACAAGTTTCTATGCTCAAGTCTTTACTTTCACATCTCACTGGAAACATCCTACATAAACTTAACCTTTCTTCTTCTTGCTGGTGATGGAACCACAACAGTAGTTCTTCTTGCTGGTGAGTTCTTGAAGGAGGCAAAACCATTCATTGAAGACGGGGTCCACCCTCAAAATTTGATAAAGTGCTTCATGCATAACTCATAACTCATAACTCATAACTCATAAGGTCTGTTTCTTTTCACTTTTCTGGACCGAATAAACTGCTTGAATGAAAATAAATGCCCATCTTACCCTTACATTCCATCACACAGTTTTAACAACATTCATCAATTTGTTAATATAATTAAGTTTCTTTCTTTTTGTATAGCATGACAAGGCCCTTATTACTGGTTACTGCATTTGTTGACAAAATGGTTCTCAAGAAAACAATTAGTGTTGATGGTGATCTAAAAATGGGTGGTTCTGTTGTATGGGTTGAGCGATCTTCCATTGATGTTCAACTTGGAGTCACTCAGCTATCAATCGGTATAATAATATGATTGATATCTTTAAACTAGTGTTTAATTTCAATAATTTTTTATTTTTTTAACTGAAAAGTGAAAACTATATATTGGTTTTGTAGATAGCACTGTAATTACAGAAATAGTAGCTTTATTTTGTAACATTTTCCATTGTATTGTTTTGTATCTTGATTCTACTTTTCATGTTTTTAGAACAAAATGCCTACCCGAAGCTTTAACAAGAAGTTACATTAATTTAACATGCCAGATGAATTGAAGTGGCCTAGTACGGAGAGAAGCCAACGACTCCCAAGGGGTGCACCCATGAGAACACCACCTATCTCCGAGCAACCTCGGTTCATGAAGCACAACAACAACTCCACATCCACTGTGGTTGATATTAAGTCTAAACTAGCCTAAATAAAGGAGCCTAATCCGGATGGTAACCATGGATCCAAGGGTTCCTCTTCTAAGGTCCCTTCAGAAGGTGAAAACTCAGTTTCTAAGGACAAGATGAGTAAGGATCCAGAAAATGAGAAACCAAAATTATTGATCAGGCTTACTAGAGAAGAGATTGAAGAAGATTATCTTGCAATGACTGGAAAAAAGATTCCAAGAAACAAGATGAGGAGGGACTATCTAGTGGTCTGAGCAGGTGCATTTTAAGATTTGGTGCAGAAAGTTAGTTATCTAACCACAAAACGAAAGCAAACCGACTAAGTTTTGGACTTTTGGTATGATAAGCATCAACAACAATTTTTTAATCCTTTTAAACAGCAAAAAGAAAATAGCTTTATTCCTTTTTATATAAGTTTTTAATACTAATAAGAATTTGTTATACCTATTATTTTTCATACATTGAGCCGTAGGATTGGTTGTAAATAACTAGATCTCAGGAGACTTGAACTTGTGATCATTTTTATAAAAAAGTTGGTATTATGATGATATAAAGTTAAAAATTTGTATTGATTGATGAAATAGGTTGGAGTCTGTTGTTCTTGACTTAGCTGTAGATGATAGTGGTGGATTACAAAAGCAAAAATCCTCGTTTCATTCATTGGGATAAGGTTTGACTTTTTTTTTTAATTATTTATATATATTTATTATTCCACTTTTTTACTTATATTTAATTTATTTATATATATTATCACAGTGGAGTAAAAAGTATGTCACGTTGAACAACGGTGACTGTGTGTCAGCTGATGGGAAGGTATTTTCAAATGTAATTTTATTTTTTATTTTTTATTAATTTTTGGTTCTAAAAATATGTTTGTACTATTTAATTTACTTGTGTGTATATACAGATAATAACAGAGAGTGGTAAAAAAGGGAAGGCGAATAAAACGAGAATATATAAAAGATGGAAAGAAAAGTCACATAGTAAGATATCATATATGCATACAAAGTCTCAAAGGTACATCATATATGCATACACTTGAAAATCATGTTATAATGTTAGAATGTTAGAATGAAATAGTTTTGGTCTAAATAAAATGATGTCAATGTTTTCTGGTTATTTATTTTGAAATTATGAATTACAGGGGCAATTTGGTCACTAACTGTTAAAGTCACTCATTTTCAACCAAAAAACAATTATATACAAGGGAAGTTAGGTCAAAAAATGTTAAAGTCACTAATGTTTAACCAACAAAGTAAAAAATAAACATTTTACACCATTTTATCTTATTTTTTTTTTAGATAAATCATGATTCATTATGTGTTCTGTTTATGATTAATTGATTATCAATTATTCAATCTCAACATAACGTTTATCTACAGCTTGGAGTTAGAATATCACTACCTAGTTTAATTGCTGCAAAATAAAGTGCACATGTCATTCTTACTGGTGACTTAAACAAGCTAGAGGCATAAACAAGGCTTGTATAATGTACATTACTTGTAATCAATATGAATTTGTTTCTTACAAGTTTATATTAATCAATTTTCAGGTTTTGGACAACATGAGAAGAGTATGTGAGCTTAATAATGTCTAATGATGATAGTGATTCTGCCACCATTCAGAGTAGGTTGTTATTTGAGTACATAGAAAAGAATTAGCCTTGGGGCAGAGAACCTTTGACTGATAAGGTTAGATTTTCTCTTGCTTGAACTGGCATAACATGAAGAGCTCCAAATTGCAAATGGCCAATGTGTATAAAAAAATAATAATAAAATAACATACAATCTTAAACTTATTACTTGACCAGCTGCTAACGGGAACATATTTTGGAACATTCTAGGAATTGTGGGGGTGGCCCCAGGTATATGATCTAGTAAATCCAACAAAATCAAAGCTCTAGAAAAAGATGACAACTTTAAAAACTTCTCTATCGCCATCATAAAGATAATAAGCAACATTCACCACTCAACTAGATCAAAAAAATCGGATAGTTAGGTCAAAAAATGTTAAAGTCACTAATGTTTAACCAACAAAGTAAAAAATAAACATTTTACACCATTTTATCTTTTTTTTTTTTAGATAAATCATGATTCATTATGTGTTCTGTTTATGATTAATTGATTATCAATTATTCAATCTCAACATAACGTTTATCTACAGCTTGGAGTTAGAATATCACTACCTAGTTTAATTGCTGCAAAATAAAGTGCACATGTCATTCTTACTGGTGACTTAAACAAGCTAGAGGCATAAACAAGGCTTGTATAATGTACATTACTTGTAATCAATATGAATTTGTTTCTTACAAGTTTATATTAATCAATTTTCAGGTTTTGGACAACATGAGAAGAGTATGTGAGCTTAATAATGTCTAATGATGATAGTGATTCTGCCACCATTCAGAGTAGGTTGTTATTTGAGTACATAGAAAAGAATTAGCCTTGGGGCAGAGAACCTTTGACTGATAAGGTTAGATTTTCTCTTGCTTGAACTGGCATAACATGAAGAGCTCCAAATTGCAAATGGCCAATGTGTATAAAAAAATAATAATAAAATAACATACAATCTTAAACTTATTACTTGACCAGCTGCTAACGGGAACATATTTTGGAACATTCTAGGAATTGTGGGGGTGGCCCCAGGTATATGATCTAGTAAATCCAACAAAATCAAAGCTCTAGAAAAAGATGACAACTTTAAAAACTTCTCTATCGCCATCATAAAGATAATAAGCAACATTCACCACTCAACTAGATCAAAAAAATCGGATAGTTAGGTCAAAAAATGTTAAAGTCACTAATGTTTAACCAACAAAGTAAAAAATAAACATTTTACACCATTTTATCTTTTTTTTTTTTAGATAAATCATGATTCATTATGTGTTCTGTTTATGATTAATTGATTATCAATTATTCAATCTCAACATAACGTTTATCTACAGCTTGGAGTTAGAATATCACTACCTAGTTTAATTGCTGCAAAATAAAGTGCACATGTCATTCTTACTGGTGACTTAAACAAGCTAGAGGCATAAACAAGGCTTGTATAATGTACATTACTTGTAATCAATATGAATTTGTTTCTTACAAGTTTATATTAATCAATTTTCAGGTTTTGGACAACATGAGAAGAGTATGTGAGCTTAATAATGTCTAATGATGATAGTGATTCTGCCACCATTCAGAGTAGGTTGTTATTTGAGTACATAGAAAAGAATTAGCCTTGGGGCAGAGAACCTTTGACTGATAAGGTTAGATTTTCTCTTGCTTGAACTGGCATAACATGAAGAGCTCCAAATTGCAAATGGCCAATGTGTATAAAAAAATAATAATAAAATAACATACAATCTTAAACTTATTACTTGACCAGCTGCTAACGGGAACATATTTTGGAACATTCTAGGAATTGTGGGGGTGGCCCCAGGTATATGATCTAGTAAATCCAACAAAATCAAAGCTCTAGAAAAAGATGACAACTTTAAAAACTTCTCTATCGCCATCATAAAGATAATAAGCAACATTCACCACTCAACTAGATCAAAAAAATCGGATAGTTTTAAGTCTTGCATTCACCAAGAAATGGAAAAGATTTTATTTTTATGCAGAGTTTTTATAAAAACTACCAAAACAAGGAATTCCCAATTGAAGACGAACAAAACCCATCATACCATTTTGCACTGATTTTTCCTTGTATGTCACCATGTTTCTTTATACAGGTATGGGTCTTATTGAATTGCTGCAATGACAATTGGCAAAAGGTATTTTACTATTTCACACTTTCATATTAACTTTTGTAATCAGCATGTGTACTAAATTTTAATATTTTATACAGGTATGGGTTGTATTCAACCCTAGATTATTGGAAAAAGGTATTTTACTATATTTGTATTAAATTTTAAAATTGTATAACATAGATTGATGATGCTTGAAGGCATTCTGAATACTAATATGTTATGATGAAAACAGGTATCATGTGGACAAAAAAGCATAATAATAAGTAGAAACAAGAAGGTGTTCCTTAACAGCAATGTAGTATTAGGTTATATAGTTAGGGAAAACCTCTTAATAACAATGTACAAGCGGATCCCCTTAATACCAATGTATTACAATTTTTTGATATAATGCAATGGATTCTATTTTTTTGTATGATATTATATTTTCTATTATAAAACATTATATACAAATTTAATTTGAAAATAAGTAAATCTATAAATAATATTTTTTTAAACATTTAAAATTATGATATGCAAAAATGTGTGTCATCTTCATTTATGACATGGCCTTTCTTGACAGGGGCTTTCTTGATACGCATTGCGTGTCATTAACACGCGCGTTGTAAGGTTACAACACGCGAATGTGTGTCGTCTTCCTTTATGACAGGACCTTCCTTGATACACATTGCGTGTTGTGAACGCGCGTCATAATTGTGCGTCGTAAATGAGCATCGTAAATGCGCGTCGTCTATAGACGACGTGCAAAAGCGCGTCGTCTCTCTTTATGACATGGCCTTCCTTGACGCGCATTTGCGCGTCGTCTGAGCCTTTTACGACGCGCAATGAGCATCGTAAAAGGCTGTTTTTCTAGTAGTGTACCTGTTGAACATTGGTAGCTATGGACTTAGTACCTATTAGATAAAGACTGGTAGCTATGGATTTAGTACCCGATGAATAGACTATAGCAGCTATGGAATTAGTGCTTTACGAACGAACATTGACAGCTATGGATTTACTGACAGTCCTATAACCCTGGAGGTAAGGGACTTCGGAATAAACGAATGCAGGATAGATGACTCTTGGGTTAAATCCTTAAAGAGTAAAGAAGATAATAGGGATGGGTAATTGGGTTGATTGTTTGATTGAACATAGTAATTATATTATTGTGGGTTGAAAACCCTATGTACTCACCAGGTTTCCCAACCTGACCCACTCAGTTTATGTATATCACAGGTGACGAAGTGAAGTGACATTACACTGAGAGATTTAAAAGAGATGTAGATCACTAGTGTAAATCATTGTAAGTTCTATTTATGCTTATGTTTCGGTATTAACGATGACATCCCAAACATTTTAAAATGAAATAAATATGTTTCTTCGAAAATGTTTTAATAACGTATTTACCATGTTTTTCTGGGAACAAATTCCGCAACCTTTTTATAAAATGAAGTACTCTGATTTTTATAAAGCATAAACAAAAATCGGTTTTTTCTGGCCGTGATTTTGGGGATGTCACAGATTGTCTCACAATTGACTCCT